TGGGTTGCTAGTCAGTGACTATTTTTTTGGCAATATGCCTCCATTTCTGACTTAAGCTATGTTACTTTTGTCTGTGGACCACAGTCACACAAAAATATATGTTCATTACAGAAGAAATCTATGAACATATACAGTGGTGGGCAAAAGTAGGTTCATAGTTGTAATACAAATAACACAATAATCAATAAATAATAAAGAATAAACTCTGTTTCTCATATTCACAGCTATAAACCTACTTTTGCCAACCCCTGTAGTTAATTTGTCAGCGCTACGAGGAATTGTGATGCTAATATTTACTGAGCTTTGGCTTTGTAACAGGTACTGCTGAATTCTTTAGTTGAGTTGTCTCACTCATTTGCACTGCTCTGCAAAGTGGTGAGTTACTTCTGTATCCCTACTGAGCAGATGTGAGGCGGAAGCTGAGAGAGCCCAGGAAATGGGTCCACAGACACACAGATAAGAAAGGATGCCGTGGGTATTCAGTCTAGGTCGGTCTGACTTCAGAGTTTAGGCTCTGAATCACTGCTCTTACATTAGCGGTTTCCAATTGGGAATTTGCAGATTAGCAATTCTCTGTAATTCACTTCTGCAGAAACTTCCCTCATTTCTCAAGTTCTAACTGTGTTATGGGGAACAATAAAATACCTTTAGAGCACTGGTTATCGAACTTGGCTACATTCTGGAGTCACTTAGGAGTTAAAAAACAAAACAAAAACTGGTAGCTGTGTCCCACCCTCGTATGTTCAGAGTTAATTTGTATAGAGTGTGGCCTGGACATTGGGATTTTTGAGAATCTCCCAGATGATTCTAAAATGCAGCAGAGTTTGAGAACTCCTGCTTTGGAACAATGCAACATTTTAAATTCTAAATTTCTATTCTTCTGTTAGTAAAAAAAATAATAATGTTTTTATTAGAGAAGTACTACATATTTACTTTAGAAACTACAGACAACCAGTAAAAATTACAATTAAAATTATTTGTAATTCCTTCACTGAATAATAACCAGCATAGGACTTGGCTATGGATTTTCTTCTTCTGAGCATGTTTGTGTATTTAAAGCCTTACCTGTAATGTTACTCTTCTGTAGAATTTTATATATTTCATGCCATATTGCCTTTTATCTCTCTGACCTAGTCACATGCTTTATCAGACTGAGAAAATTTTTATTCTTATGCACATTTAGTAGTATTGTTGATTAGCCCTTATTGGCCAGTAACTCAAAGTAAAGTAGTATCTCTATTAATGGAGAATTTGTTTGTTATCTGAGGTAGCACTGAGAAGACGAACCGATAGATGTATCTGTTTGTACTCCAACTTATATAGCACTTTTTCAGACAAGTACTAGTAAACCTTGGTTTGCTTCCTTGCCTTCCTTCTACATTATTAAGGCACAGCCCATGTGGTTCGAACCCCCTGGGCTCTGGCATGCAGTACACACTCAGTGAATGCTGGGGTGCATGAGCAAGCAGACAGATGTGCTCTGGGATCTGAGCTGGGAGTGGTGGTTATAGTCTGAAAAAAACTAATTACTGAAGAAAATCAGTAAAAAATTATTTGGGTGTGGTGAGCCGGCACGGCCATGGCATACTCAGCCCCAGGGCGCCTTATGTGCCACGCCAGCTCAGCCTGGTTCAGTGACCCTGAGAGGGGGCGGTGAAGGATGGAGAAAAGACAGACAAGAGAATGAGCTGGGTCTGGGTGGGACGCTGCTCCCAGATGGAGAGACAGCGCCACGGACTACAAGCTGTGTCTTTATTTTATAGCCAGATTCCACGAGACAAAGTAAGGGCGTGGTCAAGATGTTTACAGCATTCTCATGGGTTTCGATCCTACTCAATTACATGCACCTGAACTCTATCAAGCCCACATCAATCAGGCACTTGGGGCCAGGTGTTCGGACCATAGGTTCAAGCTTACAACTACAGCTGTTGGCTATAATTGTGCTGGGAGGGCTCTGCCCTCCAAGCTGGGACTTGCACGTGGCCATGAGAGGCCTGTGCCCTCTCATTAGTCTGAGGCTTGAACCTGTCCAAACACTGTAGCCGCTCTCCACATTTGGGAATGATGAAACAGTAGGAAGAGAGAATTAGAGTGGGGTTGAGATGAGGACAGGAGCTAAGGGCCACTTTAGTAGATAGGTAAGATGAAGATTCTTCAAGAAATGTAAAAAGCCCTCTAGTTCCAGAAATATCCCGGCCTTGGCCCCCAACAGGCTCAGTCTGAGTTCCCTGACCCCTCCCACATCTCTATCTTTCTATCTCATCATCCTGCTCGTTTATCAGAATAAAAAAAAACTGAGTCAGATATACTTTCAGAGTAAGAACGAAAAAATTTTCTGGGTTTGCTGCTCCCCAGATAGTTTCCTGATAAAGATTTGGAGGAGAAACCACTGTAGTATAATGGGGTTCAGTTAGGATACAACCAGAGCTTGTCAGTTAACAACCATCATTCCCTTTTCTACTGAGGTTGGGGACGGGGAAGAATTTAAGAAAAAGATGGGGAGAGGACTCAGAGCATTGCAGACTAATGAGGGGTTACCATCAAGGGGAGAGGGCCCATGTGGGAAATGTTACAGGTTTGGTAGACAGCCTTGTCTTCAGATATGCTCGCTGAGGTACTTTTGGTGGTGCAGCCACAAAAGCCAGGCACCTCTGCATCGCATGATTTATGAACGATTTTGTTTCATATCCACTTCTTTTAGTGTGACTTTATAATCATTAGATTTCTTACGTCAGAATTATAATTTCTTTTGGCTCTTAAAAACTTCTTTAGTTGCCGAAACCGGTTTGTCTCAGTGGATAGAGCGTCGGCCTGCGGACTGAAAGGTTCTAGGTTTGATTCCAGTCAAGGGCATGTACCTTGGTTTCGGGCACATCCCCAGTGGGAGATGTGCAGGAGGCAGCTGATCGATGTTTCTAACTCTCTATCTCTCTCCCTTCCTCTCTGTAAAAAATTAATAAAATATATTTTTTAAAAAAACTTCATTAGTTTTTAAATGTGACTGTCCATTTTAAACAAATTTTTATCAAAAAGGAAAAATTGCTGATGTTTTACGTCATCAGTGTATAAGATATATGCATGATTTATGTTGCTGAAATCCTTTAGCATTGAAACATGATGTAGTCCCAAAAGTGTCAAGAAAAATGAGCAGCTATTTCTCTATTCTTCTTTCTCTGTTTTTATTGAATTCACGATGACTTTTAAAGAATATAAAGGCATTAAAGATAGTTAAAACCGCAGACATCCTGCTTTACTTAGAATTAAACAAAAAACAAAAATGAAGAATAAAATAGCAAACCTGGTTTATTTATCTGCATAATGCTTATCTCACTACAACACCATAATGAAAGACAGGGAATCTTTATAGTTACGTTATGTATTATAGCTAACTAAATAAAGAAATAAAATGCTAGAGGTGGTATATCTTCAGGTAAATATCAGATGTATTCAGTCCTGTGAAACTTTGAGATTTCGAGAGTGCTGTGCCAGGCGCAGAGCCAGGAGTGTATTGTGATTTAATGGCATCGCTCTGCTGCTTTTGATGAGCTGGCCCAGAAAAACATTTGAAGCAATAAAGCATCCATTTGGCTCCTAAGTAATGAGGGAGCCATTGCTCTTCGCATTAACTATTCAAGAAGAAAAGTGACCAACTGCTAATAAGCTTTATCCAAAGCGGGTAGTGGAAAACAGAAGAAAGTGCGAAGGGGAGGTTCTGTTCCATTTCATATGCAGTTACCCAATACCCAGAGCTCCTCTTCCATGCCACTCTGGCCTGCTGTGTGAGTGGGAGTGCCTGTCAGACGTATTCAAGGCGTCGTGGTCTAAGGAAGGATTGTGTAGCCTAACCTAATGACAGATGAGAGGAGGCAGTGACTGGTGAGTAGCTGAGATTGGGCTGATCTCTCTAGTTTTAAATACTGGACTTATTCTCTAAGATGAGCAGTAGTGATTGAGGCTTGATAGTTACTCCTTTTGGGAAGGGTTCCTTTTTTTTTTTTTTTAAAGATGATTATTGCTTTTTCATGACTTGGGAAATCTGCTGTATAATGCAATATGTAGATTATCACTGGATCAAATGGCTTCTAACTTGAGAAAAATGTATGTGCTATGTAAATAAGTATATCATTTATCATTTGAAAATAGTTTCAGCGTTAAGAATATGATATTTTGCTCCTTTTCCACAAGTGAATAAATGGTCCCTTATTTGCAATAAATGCTTAGGATTTAGCAACTTCGAGATTACAACCAGAATATTGTACTGACACACAAATAGGGGCTTTTTCAAGTCATTTTGGAATCTTTGAATCACTTTTGGTGCTATAACAGCATGAAGTTTTAATTTCACTTGCTTTACGATTCTTAATATAATTAATTTGCCCTCTTTAGTGACATAAAAAAAAGATGAAAGTCACAATTATTTTTTTCCTTAAAACCAACTAAGTGACTTTTATGCTAATTCTTCTCCACTGCTCTTACTAAAAAGTAATACAGTTGAATTCTCCACAATGAGGGGGAAAATCCTTCATATAAATTATATTAAAATAGGCAATGGAAATATGTAAACCCAACATTATTTAATAATAGTGTTCTTGGTACTATTCTAAGCCAATTACAAAACCATTTAATGGTGCATTCTTTTGATTTTCATTTTTTAAAAATTCCGCACTGATAGCTATGCATTCAATCTAAGCTTACCATGAATTATTTTGAAGTATATTTAAAATTAATTTTCAAGATATATTTTATGAAATAAGAATTCATTGTTTATTTGGGTTCAAAGCCTTTGGTAAGGGTCTCAAAAGCCTGATAAATACATAGCAATGAGATCAAAATCATAAAAGGTTCCTTAGAATTTTTCTTACCTAGATCACATTGTGTCATACTCAGAGAACTAAACTCATTTACAGCAATTCTTACTTTCTTTAGCAAGGAAATAATATTTTACAATAATCTCTCTTGTTGGTCATTAACAATCATTTATATTGAATTATACCTTTCAGATAATCACTCCATTCAGAAGACTAATGCTATGCGCTGAGAACAGAAAGGAGATGGAGGATTGGATCAGCTCACTGAAGTCTGTACAGACCAGAGAACCTTATGAGGTAAAGTAGCAGCTCTTCTGTCATCTCATGTTCTTAGAGAATGTTAACTGAAGAGCTAATGCTGTATTCTGAAAAAATAGGTACGTATAGAGTCATTCAGCAACTTGTTTAAGCCTGATATTACATTCTTTTTACTTAAAGCAAAAAGGTTTTGTTTTTAAACTATGGGTTTGAAATTTTAATCATAACTATATATGTTCTGAATATTAAGTATCTGTAGTTTTGTTCACTTGTTTGGCAAATCTGTGCTAATGTCTCATTTCTAGGTGGCCCAGTTTAATGTGGAACATTTCTCAGGGATGCATAACTGGTACGCCTGCTCCCATGCCCGACCCACTTTCTGTAACGTGTGCCGAGAGAGCCTTTCCGGAGTCACCTCCCATGGCCTGTCCTGCGAAGGTACTGTAGCATCCAACATGTGTTGTCCTCAGACCTGACCATACCGCCATTGGTACTTTTGAGAAGTGAACAGAGAAAATCCACCATTTCCCTTGGGTGGAAGTAGTAGCTGGGAGCACCTCAGCGGGAACAGAGTGTTGATGTTTTATGGTGACTTATAGTGGACTATCTTGGGAAACGTTTGGCTCAGGAAAAGATAATATAAAATCATTTGAAAGGAAGTATAAATCAAAATGTAGCATTTGTCTCCTGAGGAACTAGTAACTACTGATTAAAAAAACATTCTTTAGACTTAGTGTGTCATCCCAGTTTTCTAGTATTCTTTTTCTGTTCTGATTGATTATGAAGAACAAAACTTTCTGTGAGGATGCTATATACTCTGGCAGAATTTCCAATTGTTACTTATATTGCAGTAGAGCAGCAGTCGCCAACTGGTGGTCCATGAGGTCCAAAAGTTGTCGACTGCTGGTTTAAGGAAACCTTTGGAGCAGTGGTCGCCAACTGGTGGTCCGCGGACCACTGGTGGTCTGTGAGATCCGAAAGGCTGGTGACCGCTGCACTAGAGGCCTGGTGCACGGATTCGTGCACTGGTGGGGTCCCTTGGCCTGGCCTGCACCCTCTCGCAATCCAGGACCCCTTGGGGGGTGTTGAAGAGCTGGTTTCGGCTGGATCCCCACAGGCCAGGCTGAGGGACCCCACGGGCCTCTAGTATGCTTATAAGACCTATGGTTAATCTCTTCCTGCCCTCCTCCCTCCCCCCTTTCTTCTGAGATTCATCAGTCTGTTTCATGTTTCCATGCCTATATGTTGAGCATTTGCCCCTGGTGGTCAGTGCGCATCATAGTTACTGGTCAGACCGTTGCTTAGGCTTTTATATATAGAGATTGTTTTAAACGCTGTTTTATTTCATTTATGTTTCATTTAAATTGATGCCATCCTTTTAATTTCCTTAAAGTTTTCTAAAAATAAGGCCTATGCTGTTGTTTTTATAAATGGATTTGTGGATTATTTTGAAATTTAAGAACAGTGACCACTTAAAGGAAGTGCATTAATGATTACCAAGAGAAAATTCATACCTTCTTTAGATTTATTTAATTTCATGCCTCAGTGATCAAATCATTGTGTACTACTTTTTGAATTATCTATAATACTATTACTAGCTTTTTTCTCTAATACAAAAAATCTTAAGTAATTTTGAAAATACTTTATTATAATTAAATAGTTAAATACAAATAGAGTCCAGTTTTAATTCATTTTAAAGAAGCTTGTGGTATGTCATCAGTTCAGCTATTTAATATGCTCTCTAGCAGTTGAGAACAGAACGCTTCACTTAGACCCTTGGGTTCCTGTTTCACTTCCAGCATTTCATTGTGAGCAGGGGGGAAATTTAACTTTTTCAGACTTTTATTTCCTCATCTGTAAATGGGGAATAGTAGTCATTTACATCTCATAACACATTATGGAAGCTAAATGAGAGAATACGTGTAATAAAACTTTTCCAGTTAAGTATATTATAGAATTTTTAACTGTGCTCCAAAAGAAATTTTTCAGGTAAAATATTATAGATTGTGTCATGGCCTGATACATTAAAGTTTATAAAAATGAATATTTGGAGGAGGCATTAAACACTTTTAGATTTAAGGAATGATTGCAAACAAATATGTAACTGGCCTTTATGGCTTTAATAACCTAAAAGGATTTCTGCAGCTCCAAGTGACTCCTGCCCGGTCTGTGATATTGCATGACATTATTTTGAAGGCCCTTTTACTATTACCTTCTAGTCTCTCATCTGAAAAATGCTAAAAGTGATATCAGATCTGAGGTACTCTGTGGTACCCTTCTGCTTTAAGAGTTAGACATTATTAAATATGTTTATTTAGAAACTGGGATTGATAGTGGGATGACTGATATTTTTGTAAGCATTTTTACAGAAAAATGAAAATTACATCAGCTGGTGAGAATAAAAAAACTTTAAAGTGTTTAAATAAATCTGTTTTTATATTTTTCTGTTAATAATGAAGTCTTCCTGACTTTTAAAAAATTCTCAATGATTGTATTTTTAAATTCTATTTTTAGAGGCACATATGGTAGTATTTATTTTCCCTGCTGATAAAAATTTTAAATCGACAGTATTTTGCCCATTAGTATTTTTAGAACTGTAGCCGAGGTTTTACAAATCCCAAGGGTTTTATGAACATACAAAAAAGTTGCCTTTTTATTTTATGAGAATGTGACTATTTAGGATATTTTTATTGTAATCAAAGTTATACTTAAACTTTAGACCTCCCCCCTTCCCAAATCTGAATAAACTACCTGCTTAGTAAAACTAAAGCCACAGGATGCAAGAGGCTTTAAAAGTTATAACAAAGATGCAAATACAAAAAATATTTGTTCACTAATGACAATGAATAACTTTGTGTTAGAATGCAGTCCAGCTTCCCTGTGTGAGGTATACTACATTCCCCTAATTTTGGTTGTTGTTTTTCACAATAAGACAAGGCTGTCCGGATTCGTCTTCTAGGTTTATATTGAAAAATAATTAAAAGTATTACTTTAAAGCCTTGCATATGTAAAATATATGAAAAAGAGAAGACAAAAGACTTTTTGTAAGTAATCCCCAAATCAATTGAGAATGTTAATTATAATTTAAGAGCATAATTATTCTTTATAGTTTTTAAGCATCAATTTAACAAAATAAGTTAAATGGTGATTTTTTAATCGACAGTATCAAATAGATCAGCTTAGGAATTTTTATTTTAACCACTGTTGAACACATAAAGTGTAGTAAAAACTGAATAAATATTTCAATAAAAAATCATAATTTTGTTACATGTTAGTATATTTTATAAGTCTTGGAGTTTTAAAATAATGGCTTTACAGGTCAGGGAAAAGTGCTTTATTTCAGAATAACTTGTTTGGAGAAATTTAATTGTTAATTAACAAAATTAAGGTGCCTATTAATCATTATCATTTCTTAGTCACCATAATTACAGTCTGATTTGTATTATTATTATTATTTTATATTAAGCAACTTTGCAATTTTTAAGAATCATTTCATGATACACTTTATTATTACAAATTTGTGATTTTTACTTTTAATGTTCTGTTTGAATTTTAATAGAAAAATTTTCAAAAGCCATGATGCCCTGGCTGATTTTACTCAGTGGTTAGAGCGTCAGCATCTTGGGTTTGATTCCCAGTCAAGGGCATATACCAGGATTGCGGCTTCCATCCTTACCCCAATCAGGGAGGATGTGTCTCTCTCATATCAATGTTTCTCTCTCGCTTTCCCCTTATTTCCACTCTCTCTGAAAATCAATGGAAAAATTCTTGGATGATCATTAACAACAACACCAAAAACAAAAAAAAGCCATGAAATTATACCCTGTTGCCCTCTTTTACTTCCTTCTTTGCCTCTTAGAATACAGTTATTGACCATTAATGTCAAGTACTTGTACTTAAAGAGCAGCCTGGGATTATGCTACAGATAAAACTAAAACTAGGACCACATTTTTGAGGAACACCATAACAGATGAAAAGGCCTAGAGACACTAACTATAGTTTTAAAATAGTCACTTGTATTGGAGCAAAATGCTGAAATTGTTTTTCAAACTAAGCTTACTTTCTATAGTCTTCTTTTTTACACTAATGTTTGTCAGCAATAAAATTCAATTGAATAATGGTTGTATTCTACATGAAGTCTGTGCTGTAGTCACAAAGTCATTTATTACAAAAACAGTATGATTTCCAGGGAAGAATTTGTCAGTGTACACAAAAGAGCATGTACTAGTAAATGAACCATGTCCAGTATCTGTAGACTAGGAAAACCAGCTTAGTTTAAGTGACCATACATATTTTGGTTATTCATGATACCTGAAGTATTTGAACACTTGATTATATAAATCTTAGTTATTTTACCTGACCCTTTTGTTTTCATATTACACTAAGTTTGCTTTAAAAAATGATGTGGAACCCATCATTTCTTGTTTATGAATGGTTTACTGTTAGATATTAAAAATCATGTGAAAAGGAGCCACCTTACATTTAGAATTTAGCAACAGTTGCCTTATATTTCCACCAAAGTGAGCTCTGCTTTTAAATATTTACCTGAAAACTCAGACTTGTATAACATCAGTATCCATTAACAATTGGATAGTTTGTGTCGTTTGAAGGGTAAGTTTAGTAGTAGTCAAGTTCTGATTTTCATAAGCAGGGTTAATTATTCAAATAATCTGTGGTTTACTTGTTTTTCATATTTATGTTGCTTCTTTCTGGTTGTTTCCTCTTATTTCTCTCTCTCTCTCTTTTTATTCAGTATTTGTATATATTGCGAAATGATTACCAGAATAAGTCTAGTTGCTGTCACCAACATAGTAACATACTAGTAAATTGTTTTGCTTGTGATGAGAACTTTTAAGATTTATTCTCTTAGCAACTTTCAAATATACAATACAGTATTATTAACTATAGTCACCATGCTGTGCATTATATCCTCAGGACTTATTTATTTTATAACTGGAAATTTGTACCTTTTGACCCCCTTCACCCATATTGGCCACCTCCCCATCCCTGACCTCTAGCAACCACCAGTCTGTTCTCTGTATCTCTGAGCTTCATTGTTGTTTTTTTGTATTTCACATATAAGTGAGATGCTATGGTATTTGTCTTTCTCTGACTTATTTCACTTAGCATATTGACTTTCAAATATACAATACAGTATTATTAACTATAGTCACCATGCTGTGCATTATATCCTCAGGACTTATTTATTTTATAACTGGAAATTTGTACCTTTTGACCCCCTTCACCCATATTGGCCACCTCCCCATCCCTGACCTCTAGCAACCACCAGTCTGTTCTCTGTATCTCTGAGCTTCATTGTTGTTTTTTTGTATTTCACATATAAGTGAGATGCTATGGTATTTGTCTTTCTCTGACTTATTTCACTTAGCATATTGTCGCATATGGCAAAATTTCATTCTTTTTTATGACTGAATAACATATATATATTACATTTTTTTATCCGTTCACCCATTGATGGACACTTAGGTTGTTTTCCTATCTTGGCTATTGTAAATAATGCTGCAGAGAACATGGAAGTGCAGCCATCTTTTTGAGTTAGTGTTTTCATTTTCTTCAGATAAATAACAAGAAGTGGGATTGATGTATCATATGATAGTTCTGTTTTTAAAAATTTGAGGAACCTCCATACTGCTTTTCATAGTGGCTATACCAATTTGCATTCCTGCCAACAGTGCACAAGGGATCCCTTTTCTTCACATCGTTGCTAACACTTGTAATTTTTTTATCTCTTGCTAATAGCCATTCTAGCAGGTGTGAGGTGATATTTCATTGTAGTTTTTATTTTACATACTAGAGGCCTGGTGTATGAAAATTCATGCACTGGAGGGGGGTCCCTTAGCCCGGCCTCCCCCTCTCACAGTCTGGGAGCCCTCAGGGGCGGGAGGCGACCCGGGGATTAGGGGAAGGCGACGCCCCATCACACCTCTGCTGTTGCCACTGCCAGCAGCACCAGCCTCGGCCGGCCTTGGTTACCTGAGCCTCGGACAGCCTAGGCGGCTGGGCAGCCGCCATCCGAAGCTTGCCTGCACCTCAACTGAGGGGACTGGGTGCCGCCATCTTGTGGCTATGGGTGCTGCCATGTTTGTGATGGCGTGATGGTCAATTTGCATATTCCCTCTTAATTAGATAGGATTTCTGATGATTAGTGCTGTTGAGAAATTCTTCATGTACCTTTGGCCATTTGTATGTCATACTTGGAAAGATGTCACCTGAAAGATTCTCTACTCGTTTTTAAAATCGGATTGGTTTTTTTGCTATTGTGTTATATGAGTTGTTAATATATTTGGGATATTAAGCTTTTACCAGATATATTGCATTTACTGTCTCCCATTCACTAGATTGCCATTTTCATTTTGTTGCTGGTTTCCTTTTCTGTGCAGAAGCTTTATAGTTTGATATAGTCTCTCTTGGAGCTTACAATCTATCCTTTCTTCTGATAGTTTTATGGTTTCAGGTCTTACATTTAAGCCTAATCTAGTTTGAGATAATTTTTGTACATGATATAAATAGTGGTCCAGTTTTATTATTTTTTGCATGTGGCTGTTTAATTTTCCCAACACAATTTATCCAAGAGACTCTCCATTCCTCATTGTATATTCTTGGCTCCTTTGTTGTAAATTAATTGATCATATAGGCATGGGTTTATTTCTGGGGTCTCTATTCTGTTCCATTGATCTATGTGTCTATTTTTACACCAATACAATACTGTTTTAATTACTTCAACTCTATAATATATAAGGTGGGGCAAAAGTACGCCTACAGATGTGAGCACGTGAAACACAGAGTTTATTCTTGTATTATTATTTATTAATTACTACATTATGTTCTAACCGAGCAACTGTCAACCTTTGCCTCACCTTGTAGTTTGAAATCAGGGAGCACGATGCCTCCAGCTTTCTTCTTTCTCAAGATTGCTTTGGCTATTTGGGGTCTTTGTGGTTCCATATAAATGTTAGAATTATTTGTTCTAGTTCTATGAAAAATGCCATTGGAATTTTGATGGGCATTGAATCTATAGATTGCTTTGGGTAATGTGAACATTTTAACAATATTAATTCTCCCAGTCCATGAACACAGACTCTCTTTTAATTTATTTGTTTCTTTCATTGGTGTTGGATAGTATTCAGTGTCTCTTTGTTGTTGTTGTTTTATAGGCTCCTTTGTGGTAATTTGACTGGGAGAAATTAGTGATGCATGTAGTGGGCATATCACATCATCATTTCTTTCTCTACATGATGGTGTAGTCATTCCAACACAATACTTTCAAAGGACAGTGCCATCCTTGTGACCCCTATCAACCTGTTTCCCATGATGCCTAGATAGTTTCTTGACATACTTGCAATTTAAAACTCCTTTGAATTATCTTGTTCTTACCTCAATGGTATTTTCACACTTTTTATTTTAAGTATCAAAAGTGTTCAGCTCGTTTGGTTTCTCATGAACTGAACACATTTGTGTAATTAGCCCTCAGAATAAGAAATAGGATGTTACTAGCACCCGTGTAATTCTGAATTTGTTTCCTTTCTCCTCAAGAACTAATTATTTTGCATTTATTTCCTTTCTGTTTTTCTTCTATGATTAAATGGAATGCAAGTAGCAATTCATAGCTTGGTCAGAGTGCTTCATACATACATAACCGTATTTGCTTTATAGAGTACCATTGCTATTTGTTAAAAAGTAATTTAAACTTTTTAAAATATACTTTTCCTTCTGTCCCCCACCCCTTTAAAATTTTATGCTGTGATTTTCTTTAATTGTTGGTCTAAAAGTACACACTCACTTGGAAATGGTTTCCTGTGTGTTTTTAGTGTGTAAATTCAAGGCCCACAAAAGGTGTGCAGTGAGGGCCACAAATAACTGCAAGTGGACGACTCTGGCCTCCATCGGGAAGGACATCATAGAGGACGAGGATGGGGTAAGCCCTCTTCTGTCTCTGACCCCTTCCCAGCACCTCTTCTCTTTTACTTTCTGTCCCGGGGAAAATACTGACAGAGCTAGGTGGGAGGGTTTACTATTAGTCTTAAAATGGAAGAATTTGGTTAATTATGAGTTTTTATTTTCAATTAGGTCCTTACCAGGTTCCTTCAGCTCTTAAAGTTTAAGGGAAATGTGAATAGGACTTAAGAATGGTGCTGGGCTGGTGCTGTGGAGCCTTATCTGACAAACTAAGATATTTTTTAAGGCTTAGCTCAGCTGTTTACTCAGATCTTTACTCCTCAGACTTCGGGGCCTCCTCTCAACGGTGCCCCTCCCTCAAAATCTTGCCTCCATTGCACCTTGCATACAAATATCTGGTAGCACTTTGTGACCCCTGTGATAATGCCTTTTACATGCCTTTCTCCTCAACTAGACTACAAATCCTGAAGGCCAGGGATTTAGCCATATGTATCTTTGTACCTCTAAAGTGCTTAGGACATAGTACATGCTCAATAAATCTGGGGTAAATGAATGTATGCTATGAGTGATACATATTATTGATTTCTTAGAGTAAGATTCAATTGTATATCTTCCTAGGGTAAGAATGGTGTCCTCCACAGTCTTTAATTTGACTGTGCTTTACTCCTGCTGCACAGGTGGCTATGCCTCACCAGTGGCTAGAGGGTAACTTGCCTGTGAGTGCCAAGTGTGTTGTCTGTGACAAAACGTGTGGCAGCGTTCTTCGTCTACAAGATTGGAAATGCCTTTGGTGTAAAATGATGGTGAGAGTCCTTTTTAATTAGCTTCTTTTCATCACTTTTACCTGTATGTGATTTAGAGGCAAAGAATTTATGGCGTAGCAGAGCTGGATAGCACACATGCCCATTGTAATATTTATCTTTTTAAAAGTGTATTCCTTCCAGTCTGGTTACTTTTTTACATAACCTTTTTGTAATACTTATCATATGTTTCCTTTGTCTAAAGGCCTCTTTCCCACAGTTTTATTGTTTTTCATTATGCTTGAGTCACACTAGGTGGCTTGCTATTTTTCAGGCCTGACATCTACCTTATAAAATTCTTATACAATCTAATGAAAATAAGCAAAATCTGTCTTATGTCCACTTGTTTTGCAATGATCCTATAGCTTTGTATTCACACCTCTTTCATAACATTTTCATGGTATTATAGTTACAAGTACATCCATGCCTAGTTTCTCAGCTGGACTCTGGCCTTGCAAGGAAAAGAAAAAGGTCCTATTATTACACACTCATCTTGAAAAGTGATGTACATCAGAGGCGCGCAGTCAACGTAGACACAAAGTTTCAAGGTCACTCAGAATAACTGTTGAGAACAAAAAACACAGGGCTAACATACTTATTAAGCAGGACCCAGGCAACTTAGGATACTTTATGAACTCACCTCGAGAGCTTTTAAATGTTCTAACCAGCTTGGCCAGAGTCGCTCAGTTGATTGAGCGTCGTTCTGTCCACCAAAATGTTGCTGGTTCAATTCCCGGTCAGGGCACATGCCTGGATGTTGGTTTGATCCCCAGTCGGGAGTGTACTGAAGGCAACTGATCGATGTTTCTCTCTCTCCCTCTCTCTAAACATGTCTTCAGGTGAGTATTGAAAAAAAAAAGTTCTAACCATAAAAGCAGAAATTTCATGAAGCACTTACTTAATATGTTGTTATTTCATTAGTCCTTTTAGAAAACTGGCATATTAATTTAACATGTATTTATAAACTTTTGTGAAAATAACTGAAATTTAATTCTTGTTCTGGTGATGACCTAATTTTGGACAGTTTTCTAATATGATTTATAATAATTAACAATCCAAGTCAATTTTAGAAAAACAAGCATGCATAGTTTTAAAAGGAATAAAAAAATATGTAAAAATAGGACAAAACTGAAAAAATATAACAATGTTAAATGAGAAAAGTAGAAGATAAAAATTCCAACTTCACTATTTTTACAGAATATGTAAAACCATGTCCAGAAACTGGACAACAGGTGGAAAATTAGGAGTTGACTCATTAGGGTTGTAGAACTATGGTTTGGTTTTTAACTAGATGACTATGTTTAGACACCAAATATTCTGCTGTTAAAAATTATATTTTAAAAGCAAAATAATATATTAACAGAAAAATGAGAGTCTATAGGAAGTATAGACTAAGACGGGTGTAACAAAGGCGACAGTAGTCCAGCAACCAGCACATCTAACTGACAGAGTGGGGAGGAATGATTTCACAATAAGGTGGCACTTATGTTTGTCAGGGAAAAAAGAGGGAAAAGACATTTAAGAATGCCCTCTTCTGTAAAAGACATTAAAGGTGGGGGCGAGTAGAATGAGCAAATAAAAAACCTAATTTACTCCTACCTAAAGTTTAAAAACTACTGACTAAATACAAGTAAAAACCTATATATTGCAGGTAAAAACAATTTATATAATACTTTTAGATTTAGAAAATAACTTCATCATATGTGATCTTTCTTTTTAAAAATTTAGAATAAAAAAACAGCTAAAGTTCTTGAAGTAGAGGATTAGACTTTAGTAAATGTGGAGTAATAAAAATAGCAGTAGGTACATATATCACTGGTTGTTCCCCCAAAAAGACATCTTAGGTGGAATGAAAATTTAAACTCTTGGTTAGGGAGCACTCCTTTAAAATAAGGAATGGCAAAAGAGGGTTTTAGGGGTGGGGTTTCACTAAGCCTCCAAGGAGAGCTAGTTTATATTAAATAGTCTATATTATATTAAATGGGATAAGAGAAATAAAAAGTAATGCCTATGGCTGACAAAAGAGGCAACTGAGCCCCAGCTGGTGGTTTAGTTGGTTGGAGTATCGTCCCATACACCAAAAGGTTGCGGGTTCTATTCCCATTTAGGACACATGCAGGAGGCAACTGATCAATGTTTCTCTTTCATATCAATGTCCCTCGTTCACCCCCCCCAACCACCCCCTCTGTCCTCCTCTCTCTAAAATCAACAAACATATCCTTGGGTGAGGAAAAAAAAAAAAGAGGCAACTGATGAAGAATAACAAAAGCAGGAGGACAAAGAGAATCATGTTCAAATTAAAAATGATAAGGAGTCCTGGCTGGCGTTTCCCAGTGGTTAGGGCCTGCACATCCGAGGTTCTTGGGTTCGATTCCAGGCCAAGGGCATGTACCGGGGTTGCAGGTCCCATCCTTGCGACCAGGGCTGTTGGGAGTCAACCGGTCGATGTGTGTCTGTCACATCCACATCGATGTTTCTCTCTCCTCTCCTCTCTCTTGCTCTCTCTCTCCCCACCCACTTCTCCTTCTCCTTCCTTTTACTCTCTCTAAAATCAATGGAAAAAATATCCTCACTCAGGTGAGGATTAAAATCCTATATAATAAAAGGCTAATATGCAAATTGACCAAATGGCAGAACAGCCAGTTGCTATGACACACACTGGCCACCAGGGGGCAGACACTCAATGCAGGAGCTGCCTCCTGGTGGTCAGTGCACTCCCACGGAGGGAGCCCAGCTCAGCCAGAAGCCAGACTCATGGCTGGCGAGCGCAGCGGCAGTGGTGGGAGCCTCTCCTGCCTCCGAGGCAACGCTAAGGACCCCTCGGGGGATGTCTGCCTGCCGGCTTAGGCCCCCTGGGAAGCGGACATTCCCCAAGCGTCCCGGACTACAGGTCAATGCTCTATCCACTGTGCCAAACCAGCTAGGGCGCAAAATTACGTTTTATATGTCAATCAAAATTTGGTGGCTTTCTATAAGAATTTTATAAGGTAGATGTCATCAGTTTTTTAATGGACAGTGATATTGATGTTACTGGTTCACTTCTCTCCTTCCTCTCTCTTGCCTTCCCTTCCTCTGCATTCCTTTCCTCCTCTGGCCCTCTCCTTGCCTTCACAAGCATTCATTAACTATATACTACTTACCTGAGACAATCTTGAAAATATACTTCACAGACAAAATCAAATTCCCATCTCTAAAAAGGTTAGCCCATTCCTTAGAAGCATAAATATTGTGCCACTAAATTTATGAATTACTGAACATTTTGTGATGTAGTTGATCCTCAAAGTATCAGTTTCTTAGCTATAACTTATAACTAAATATTGATTTGTTTTTATGATTCTTAAAAATTTATTTTTTTGTTATTAGGTACACACTGCCTGCAAAGACTTATACCATCCTGTATGTCCACTTGGCCAATGTAAAGTGTCTATCATTCCTCCAATTGCACTAAACAGCACTGATTCTGATGGTATGTAGCAGTGGTGTGAGTATGTATATTTCCAGTATATTGAAAGTTGATATGTACATTTATTTTTCTAGAAGAAATAGAATTATAACTGTTATCCTTATCAGTTTTTATATACTAATTCTATTTAAATTGCTGAACAGTACATTTAATTTTTAAAAGAACATTTTAAAATTAAAATTTTACATAGCTATTAACACATTGGTGAACTTTCTGTGTATAAGACTTTTAGATTTTACATTTCAGCAAATAAGATCATTATTCTGTTCTGAAATGTAATCCAAAAATTTTAATTTTTTATGTGTTTTTTCCCCTCTATATTGAAACTGCCCATTAGCATATCTCTTATTTAGAAATCTGTTTTCTTATCATTTCAGTGCAGGAATTTATATTACTATAAATTTATTCACTTTTTCCCAAAATCTTACAACTTAGTTGTAAGTGCTGAGGAATGTGTTTACAACACTGGTTTTGTAATAGCAAATTAATAACTTTCCAAGCAAACCATATTATAAAAGGCTTTTATCATATATGATTAATGTTTTGCATTGATAAAGTGCATTATGATTTTCAAACTTTTTATATAAATTATGCCAATAGGTCTTATAGATACAGGGATGCAAGCCTCAAAAGATAGACTTTTTAAAACCTATGGTATTAAAGCCCTCCCTCCACAAGCCCTGATATATCAATGTTTTGTTGTTTATTATAAACTTCAAAGTATTTGTTCAGGCCTCATCAATGAGCAGTTAAAATCCTATATAATAAGATGTAATATGCAAATGGTCGTTACATAACGACCAACCGCGTAACGACCAGATCACGGATCAGCAGGAGAGTGGGGCAGTGAGCTACAAGTGGACGGTGGAGAGCTACAGGAGGGGGCAGGGCAGCAAGCTATGAGGGGGGGTGGAGGGAGTAACAGGAGGGCGGGGCAGCGGGCAGAGAGCTACAGGAGGGCAGCAGCGAGCTACTGGCACATGGATTTGTGCGCAGGGCTATTAGTCCTATATAATAAAAGCCTAATATGCTAAGTGTCTGGTCGTCTGGTTGTTCAACCAATCAAAGCGTAACATGCTAATGATATTCTAAGGCCACTCAACCGTTCGCTATGATGAGCACTGACCACCAGGAGGCAGACAGTTGACCGGTCGACCAGTTGCTATGACGTGCACTGATCACCAAGAGGCAGACACTTGACTGGTCAACCAGTCGCTATGACGTGCACTGACCACCAGGGGGAAGATGCTCAACGCAGGAGCTTCCCCCTGGCAGTCAGTGCGCTCCCATAGGGGGAGCACCGCTCAGCCAGAAGCCAAGCTCACGACTGGCGAGTACAGCGGTGGTGGTGGGAGCCTCTCCTGCCTCCGTGGCAGTTGGACATCCCCTGAGGGCTCCGGACTGCAAGAGGGTGCAGGCTAGGCTGAGGGACCTCCACCTCCCAAGTGCATGAATTTCATGCACTGGGCCTCTAGTACTTTATAATACTAAGTACAAGTATATAGACTGATTGGTTTTCCTTATCATTGTTGTTAAAACAGGTCCTATATCTCAAATTATCTCTGATTAATACTTTTACCATTTGTTATGATTTTTCATTATAGAGCATATTTTAAAAGATAACTCCTCTCTCTCTATATTTTTAATATGTAAATAATAAACCAATCTCCATTTGGGGGGCTAATTTATAACTTATTGTTAAAGTAATGAACCTGGTTCTTTATTTTTATGACTTTCTCTTCTTTTCTCTGGATTTTTGTTAGTTTAAGAGAGGAAGCTATGCATATTGATCTTGTCCTGTGTTTTTTTACAGGTTTCTGTAGAGCAACGTTTTCATTCTGTGTTAGTCCTTTACTGGTTTTCGTCAACTCCAAGAGTGGAGATAATCAGGGAGTCAAGTTCCTTCGACGGTTTAAACAGTTACTAAATCCAGCTCAGGTGTTTGATTTAATGAATGGAGGTCCTTATTTGGGGTAATTGATTATTGATAAGTCTCTTTTAAATGAAACATAGCACTGAGCATGAAATGTGCCTGGCTTTTCAGTTCATGAAAATTGTAGACTCATCTAGACATCTCTGTGTTGATCTTCTCACTCCTCCCTTTTTAAAAATTCTAATTATAAATTTAACACAACCTCTTTGATATTGATATAACTTCCTTGTGTGATACAAATTCCAAAATGTGTTTAGAAAGTGTTTTAGATCATATCTTACATCAATCAAGCACTCAGAGTGTGCTGAGCTCTAAGAAAGATAAATGTGAAAATATAGAAATACAAACTAACTTTAGAAAATGATTTGCATGGAAGACTTGTATTGATTTGTATGTAATACAATCAATTGTTTAACTAAAGCATGGTTACTATCATGGGTCTCTAGGTAGTTCCTCCAGGATTTCAGACTCACTCCATACAAATGGCAAATAAATGCTTTTCTTCGTTGTTTCTGCTATCTGGAATGTCATTTAACATAAAATCTGAAAAAATATTAAATAATATTTTCAGTGAAGGAAAATGTGCCTTGAGGCACTGTCAGTACATTTTTAGTATATGTCTTATTTTTGTTGGAGAGCTTATATTGTGTCATTTGAACCAGAGCCCAGCATTCTCTGTGATTTATTTATGCCAACTCTGCTTTTCTTAGGGTTCCACCGTCACCTGGACGCATGAACATAAAAGTAGAAATGGGGATTTTCAGATTTTTCTGTCTTCCATATTTCTCTCCTTACTCTTTTCTTGTCCCTCTTTTCACTTTTGTTCCTTTTTATTTCCATTGCCTTTTTCTTGCAAAGTTCAGGCCCTCTGCTCACTGGTGTTGGTCTTTCTCATGTGTATCCAACTCCTTCCTTATCTACGTGGACATCCCTCACTTCCCTTTGTTTGGGTCCTGGCATTTCCTCATCTGGCCTCTCTTCTCACCTTTGTCTCTCCCATTGCTGGTTAGCTCTGTCTCCTTTCTAGTACATTTGTGTTATAATCCTTTATAGTTCTTATATCTTATATTCTTGACATTCGTTATTCCCACCCAAGGAACTTTCTTTGTTAAACTTCTTGAGGTTATCTCTGTAACATATTTTTTAGATTTCCCACCATACTTGAGGTATGCAAAGGTACACTCAGGAGGTGGGGCATGTCAAAAGTCGAGAGGCAGGGAGATAGGAGTAAAAAGATTGACCTGAGACTAGGAGAAGAGGAGGAGAACAACTGACAGGACTACAAAAACTGACACATTGTCCAGGTTTGGGATTTCTTTAGGAACTGCCACTCGATAGCAACAGTGCCCTAGATGCCCACCCCTGGTTTGGAACCGGCTATGCTTCAGGAAGTAACTTAGCCTTGTCATGGGAAGAAAAAATCACTACTTTTACCATCTTGTATCACTTATCTTTCATTCTCTTTCCTGGGTTCTGCTTCTTTTTTGTTTTCTTATTTCTTCTTTCCCTTTCCTTCTAATTTTACTTCCATTTCTACTTATAATCCTCTTTCCTCTTTATGATTAAGAGGTTTTATTGACTTAAAATTGTACTTAAATTAACTTTATAGTGTAATTATTATGTAAGAGTTCTTATATTTAATCTGAACATGAACACCAATAAATATAGAATAACACAGAATTAGGGAAAGTGAATTTTTTTATTTATATTAAAATAAAACACTTTTTACTTTCAGTTTAAGATTATTCCAGAAGTTTGACAATTTCCGGATTCTTGTTTGTGGAGGAGATGGAAGTGTAGGTTGGGTTTTGTCAGAAATTGATAAGCTCAACTTGAATAAACAGGCAAGTACTAATTCTTTTCATTGCTAGCTAACATGAATGTGTACTAACCGGCTGACAGAGAAGTGTAGAACTGTCATAGACCCTATCTCTCCCCTTGTCTGAGGTCTCCCTGTTGTGCTCTCTTCTAGTGTCAGCTTGGAGTGCTGCCTTTGGGTACCGGAAATGACCTGGCCCGGGTTCTCGGCTGGGGTGGTTCATACGATGATGACACTCAACTTCCCCAGATACTAGAGAAGCTGGAACGAGCCAGTACCAAAATGCTGGACAGGTAAAAGTGAATTATCTCCTATATCTAGTTTGAAAATGGCATACTGCAATCTTTTTTTTTTTTTTTTTTTGAGAACTTAAGTTTTGCTGACTGTAGGCCCCTTGAGGGCAGAGACTTCCTGGTCCTGTCCACACTCTCACCCCTGAGGTCTAGAACAGAGCCCAGCAGAGAGTAGACACTCAGTCAATATATTTTTTGAGTGAGTGAATTGTAGCAAAAACTGAGAAAACTAGTCTAATGAACCCATTATTTTAGAGATAGAAGGCTCTGTTGATACTAACTACTTCTAATTGCTGTTCAGGTCAGAAGAAAGCTTTAAATGGTTAATTTGGGGAGGGGGGTCTTTCGATGATTATCATCTTGTGGTTTCATTAAAGCTGAAAAAGATCTATAAAGTTTGGATTTGTTAGAATATCTTTTCTTAATGATGCTTATGAAGAATGAATTAAACCAACAAAGAACTAAATACTAAAAGAAGAGAGATGCATCTGGAAGAACTATCACCCTTTATGGTCCCCTTGGTCACATCTCCTCACCGCTTTCTCTCTAAATGCTCCACATGGAAAGAAGAAATCATAGTGCATGTGTTCTGAGCCTTATGGAGGAGGTTTTAGAATTTAGGTATAGGGGACAACAGGACTCAATGAGCAATAACCTCTCCACCCCCATAAGAAGACAAATGTCAAAATATGAAGGCAGGGGAGGGGGTAAGAGATCAACCAAAGGACTTGTATGCATGCATATAAGCATAACCCAGGGGTGGGCAAACTTTTTGACTCTAGGGCCACAATGGGTTCTTAAACTGGACCGGAGGGCCGGAACAAAAGCATGGATGGAGTGTTTGTGTGAACTAATATAAATTCAAAGTAAACATCATTACATAAAAGGGTACGGTCTTTTTTTTTTAAGTTTTATTCATTTCAAACGGGCCGGACCCGGCCCGCGGGCCGTAGTTTGCCCACGGCTGGCATAACCCATGGACATAGCTAGTAGGGAAGTGAGGGCATGTGCTGGGGATGGGAATGGCCTGGGAGAGGCCAATGGGGGGAAAAGGAGACATATGTAGTACTTTAAATAATAAAGAATTTAAATTTTAAAAAAAGAAGATAAAAGTCAAAATATCGTTATAAACTTGAGTTTATAATGAATCAAAACAGCTTTGATAGGATTAGCCATCTGTGGAACTCTTCTGGAAAGTAACAAAATCATCAGGGAGCCACCCATCTAAAATGTAATTGCTCTCAAATGCGCTATAATCTAATTAATTGTAACCTTGCCTGTCATAAGGTAATGTTGAAATGGTTAATTCAATTGCTGACAGAATATTTAAAAAGAGAGCTGGGCCATAGAGCATTTATTTCAATTTATTCCAAACACTCCTTTTAGAAAAAATTTTTCATTAAAATTACAGTTGATATTCAATTTTATATTAGTTAAAGTGTACAACATAGTGGCTAGACATTTATATAACATACAAGGTGAGAGGGATACCCCCAGTAGTGTGGGTGCAGAAAGTGGATTTTTTTAAAATTAAATCTTTATTGTTCAGATTATTACAGTTGTTCCTCTTTTTTCCCCCCATAGCTCCCCTCTACCCTGTTCCCACCCCACCCTCTGCCCTTATCCTCCCCTCACTGTCCTCATCCATAGGTGTACGATTTTTGTTCAGTCTCTTTCTGCACCCCCCACACCCCTTCCCCTCTGAGAATTGTCAGTCCACTCCCTTTCTATGTCCCTGATTCTATTATGTTCACCAGTTTATTCTGTTTATCAAGTTATTTATCTTCTTAAAGGATACCTTTCAGCATTTCATATAATACTGGTTTGGTGGTGATGAACTCCTTTAGCTTTTCCTTATCTGTGAAGCTCTTTATCTGACCTTCAATTCTGAATGATAGCTTTGCTGGATAAAGTAATCTTGGTTGTAGGTTCTTGCTATTCATCACTTTGAATATTTCTTGCCACTCCCTTCTGGCCTGCAAAGTTTCTGTTGAGAAATCAGCTGACAGTCGTATGGGTACTCCCTTATAGGTAACTGACTTTTTTTCTCTTGCTGCTTTTAAGATTCTCTCTTTGTCTTTTGCTCTTGGCATTTTAATTATGATATGTCTTGGTGTGGTCCTCTTTGGATTCCTTTTGTTTGGGGTTCTCTGCACTTCCTGGACTTGTAAGTCTATTTCTTTCACCAGGTAGGGGAAGTTTTCTGTCATTATTTCTTCAAATAGGTTTTCAATATCTTGCTCTCTCTCTTCTTCTGGCACCCCTATAATTCGGATGTTGGTACGCTTGAAGCTGTCCCAGAGGCTCCTTACACTATCTTCGTATTTTCGGATTCTTTTTTCATTTTGCTTTTCCGGTTGGGTGTTTTTTGCTTCTTCGCATTTCAAATCTTTGACTTGATTCTTGCGCTCCTCTGGTCTGCTATTGGGTGTCTGTATAATATTCTTTATTTCAGTCCGTGTATGCTTAATTTCTAGTTGGTTCTTTATCATAGCATCGAGGGTCTCATTAGTTTTCGTGACTCTCTCCTCAAGTTTATTGACAGCTTCTAGCACATTTTTGCAAGCCCTCAAAATTGCGATTTTTAGCTCTATATCCTCCATTTCTGTCATGTTTTTTTGTCTCCGCATTTTTTATGCTTTCTTGGTGCACCCCCTAGTGGTCTTTGTGCGCAGTCTTGTTCTAGTTGAGCCTTGATTGTTGTAGTTAATACTAGAGGGATTTGACCACCAGGCCGACTGGCTGTGTGAATCAGCTGTGTCTGCCGCGGAAAACTTCTGTCCTCTGGGGAGGTGCTAATCTAGCCTTTGCCTGAGGCGATCCGGCAAATGGCTCTGCGCAGGGCTTGGGCGGGGCGGGATCAACAGGGCGGGCGGGAGGAGGGAGCGGTTATGGCTGCCCTCAGTCCCGTGCCCAGAGGCTCTGCT